CCGTCACGCTGATTGCCTCGTGCACCTGGCGCAGGTACTCCCCCACGGTGGCCGTCTCCACCGCAAACACATCCTCGTACGTGGGCCGCAGCTCGAAGCTCTGCAGCGCCTGCGTCAGCTTGCGCGGGTTGAGGCCTTCGTGCGCCAGGAGGCGGCTGGCCTCCAGGCTCTCGGCGGTTGCGTCGGCGCGCGCCGCGCGGCCGCGCAGCTTCTGCGAGTACTGCTCCACCTGCAGGATGTCGCGCTGCACGCGCGGGAAGGCCTGCTCCTGCAGGGGGCGCGCGGCGGGCGGCGGCAGGGGCGCGGCGTGAGCGGCCGACAGCTGCGCGGCGCGCCACCCGCCCCGCCCGCGGCCGCCGCTGAGGCCGGCCACTGGCGGGCGCTGGGGGGCGCCATCGCTGCTGCGGCAGGCCCACGCACGGGCTCCCCGCCCCTACAGCGCACCGAGCGGACCAGGTCTTGGCTCTGGAGCAGCAGCTGGTCCCAGTCTGCCGCCCGCCCCGCCATGGCTGCTGGCTGAAAGGAATTAAATTCGATCCTGCTGCTCAGGTCAGTGCGGTGATGAATTCACTTGATCGCTCGTTGGCACCCAAGCCCCGGCACCAATACACAAATGGACGCCTGTTGGGAGCGATGGAATGCCGCCCAGCCCGCATTTTGGGATGTCCAGTCCAGGCGCTGTACAGCCGGGGCGGGACGACGGGCGAGGCCTATCTGCTGGGGCTCCCTGCTGGCCTGATCGCTCAGAGCAAGGGAGCTGTGCATCACACACGATTTACATGCAGCGTGACCAGCCACAGATGGGGTCAGGCCTCCCCGCCTGCCTCGCCGCCCGCGCCGCCGCCGCCGGCCGCCGCCAGCTCCCACACGTGCGGCATCAGTCGCTCCAGCTTTTGGGTCGCCTCGTCCCGCGCCTCCTCATCCCTGCCGCCCGACTGCAGCTTGAGCTGGTCCACCACGGCAGCGTGGAAGTCGGCCAGAAGCTGCAGGCTGTCCTGCGGCAGCTGCCCGCCTTGCAGCAGGTCGAGCGCCGCCGACACGGCACGCCCCGGCAGACTCACCGCCCGCCCGTGCTGCCGCGCCAGCAGCAGCGGCACCACCAGCATGAGCAGGGTGGAGGCGTCGGGCGCGGCGGCCGCCTGCGACTCCCACAGCTTGCGCTGGGCAAACACCAGCGTGCGCTCGGTACGCTTGTCCAGGCGGCGCAGGCGCAGGCCCGCCGCCTCGGCCGCAGCATCCAGCTCAGACTGGAACTGCTGCAGCGTGGGCGGGGCATGGGGGGGCGGCGGGGCGGGGAAAGGGGCAGAGATACGCCAGTCAAAAAGGGGGTGGAGGCAGCAGGGCATGGGGTGGCGGCAGGCCGAGGCGACCGCGTGCCTCGCCAAGAAAAGGGACCCTGTCTGCCCATGCCCGCACCTCCAGGCTGCTGCCGGTGAGCTTGTCCACGGCGGCGCTGACCGCGGGCTTGACGTCCGGCTGCAGGCGCTTGATGATGGCGGCGCGCTGGGCGCCGCTCAGCGGGCCGGCAGCCGCGTCGGTGAGCGGCGAGGGCGCGGCGCCCTCCTCCCCCTCCCCC